TAATACTTCGAATTCATCCATGGGGGTCACTGGTGAAAAGGACATACTGTCCAAAATTATTCAACCCCCAATGCTGTAAAGGGGTTTAGGGACTATAGTGTACATTTGGAATTGTATTCAGAATCAAATCCTACAAGGACGTTTGTAACTACCCAAATGCAACTAAAATGACATCAATTGTTTATGTAATACAGTAGTAAATGGTTCTTATGTGGTTTCTTCATTGCCACAATTATTCAACCCCTTAAAGACTACCACTCTGAAGAACAGAGGTTCATACAGGTGCTTTCCATCAGGTATTGAAAACACCTGTGGATGTCACCGAGCAGCAATCAAGCATAATAAGCACCAATTAGGCAGCTTTAAAATGACTGTGATACTCAGCTCCTTCTAGACATTTACTGGTGTGGTTACAAACATGGTGAAGGCAAGAGAATGGTCCAGGAAGACAAGAGAAGAGGTGATTTCTCTTCACAGGAAGGGCAATGGCTATAAGAAGATTGCAAAGATGTTAAACATACCAAGAGACACCTTAGGAAGCATCATTCGCAAATTCAAGGCAAAGGGCACTGTTGAAACGCTACCTGGTCGTGGCAGAAAGAAGATGCTGACTTCGACTGCTGTGCGCTACCTGAAGCGTAGAGTGGAGAGAAGTCCCCGTGTGACTGCTGAGGAACTGAGAAAAGATTTGTCAGATGTGGGTACAGAAGTTTCAGCCCAGACAATAAGACGCACACTGCGTAATGAAGGCCTCCGTGCCAGAACTCCCAGGCGTACCCCCTTGCTGTCTCCAAAGAATAAGAAGAGTCGACTGCAGTATGCCAAAAGCCATGTGGACAAACCACAAAAGTTGTGGGATAGTGTTCTGTGGACTGATGAAACAAAATTAGAACTGTTTGGGCCCCATGGATCAACGCTATGTTTGGAGGAGGAAGAACAAGGCCTATGATGAAAAGAACACCTTGCCTACTGTGAAGCATGGTGGAGGGTCAATCATGCTTTGGGGCTGTTTTGCTTCTGCAGGTACAGGGAAGCTTCAGCGTGTGCAAGGTACCATGAATTCTCTTCAGTACCAGGAGATATTGGATGGAAACGTGATGCAGTCCGTCACACACCTGAGGCTTGGGAGACGTTGGACCTTTCAACAGGACAATGATCCCAAGCATACCTCCAAGTCCACTAGAGCATGGTTGCAGAGGAAAGGCTGGAACATTTTGGAGTGGCCATCGCAGTCACCAGACTTAAATCCGATTGAGAACCTCTGGTGGGACTTAAAGAAAGCAGTTGCAGTGCGCAAGCCTAAGAATGTGACTGAACTGGAGGCCTTTGCCCATGAAGAATGGGCGAAGATACCCCGTAGATCGCTGCAAGACACTTGTGTCAAGCTATGCTTCACGTTTAAAAGCTGTTATAACTGTAAAAGGATGCTGTACTAAGTACTAAGATTGAATGTCACTTGGGGGTTGAATAAAACTGATAATGCTGTGAGCACAGAAAAGACATTTGTGGTTATTTCATTATAACTGTTATGTTATATTTGTCTGACCTACAAGTGCCTCTTTAATGTAAATGTAAGCAAGATGACTGAATGATCAAAAGCAATGTCAAACTGGCCAAAACACTCAATTTCAGTGGGGGTTGAATAATTTTGGACACAACTGTACCTTTATTCAATAAAGTAATATGTTCCCTTCTGAGTGGAAAATTAGCCAAATTGATTACCTTCTTATCATGGGTAATTTCATCAACTACCTTTTCTGACTTCTTGTTCTGCCCTTGTCCTCCTGATGTTTGTTTTTTAAGGATTCCTCTATTTCTTTTTGGTTCCTCTTCCCATCTGTAGTTGATTGATTCGGGGAAGTTCTCCATCTTGTTGGTCTAAAAAAGATACAGATTTACCAAGATTTTCAGACTCACTTTCACTAGACACGGTTTCCCCCATTGATCTAGAATGTGAACGAAAAACTCTTCGTTTAGATCGACTTCTACCTCTTTTTTATAGTAAGGTCAAAGATCTCTCCTGTTTCCCAATCTTTAAGGTCACGTCTAAATTTAGTTTGTTTAGTGGTTCTAAGATTTTTTTGAACCTTTTCAACTTCTTTTTTAAGTTGTTCATTATATTTTTCAAAATTCTCCTGATTTTTGTCAATCATGAATACGAAATAAAGCATCATTTTTTGGAAATTTTTCTGAGTATCGCATTCTGTTCATAATGTAGCCGCTTTTCTGTGAATTTCTTTTCACAAACCCCCTTTTTGTCTGCGTGTTTTTTGGCTACTGGATGGAAGCCATATATTGGGTGATACAGTAACTTATTTTGGAACCTCTAAAATCTACCTTTACCTACCTGTATAGACTTCCCTTCTATAGACATCTCAAAGCCCTACGACTACTGTTGGGTGCTCCATCTTGGATGTGACATGAGCAGCTCCAGCATACTCATAACTATCACTCTATAGTATTTTTCTTTGTTTCTCCCCTGGCAGCTACATGTAGGGAGGTAGATGGAGGAGCAGAGGAACTTTGTCAGCACAGTGTCATTGGATACTCCCAAATGAGTATCTAATTGCCCCAGAAGTTGGTGATTGTGGTATAGTTTCATTTCAATCAGGAGAAAGGAAATAAAAAAAAAAAACAAGGTTTTTTCTTGCTCGTGATTGGATGATAGAATTCAGCAGGACTTCACCTCATTCATTAATCTCTGGGGCAAATTCCCTTGCAAAGTTCAACTACCCTTACCAATTGAACAGACTATTTGCCTGTATAATTGTGAAATAACACAATTGTATGCATGTGTTATCTTAAAGCATTATTGTTACCTTGTAGATTATTTTCAGCATAAATATGTCAGGTCAAAATTTACTTGTGTGTTCAGGGGCACCTGCACAGATTTTGAATTGGGAACAGCAGCTGTGTCTTGTGAAGCTGTTGCATCCCAATTGACATAAATGGAACTGCTTGCAATCAGCTGCATGGAACGCTTGTGCATCCCGTGTGGGCAAAGACGGCATTGGTGTATACATTGATACACCCTGTGTGAATGAGACCTCAATGTTAATGACTAACTGCATCATTTATTCAATTTATAATCAAGTCCATGTATTAATTATTTCATGATTTCTTTCAGCTCTACTCAGCAAAGCATTTATTTTGCTTCTAGATGGTACTGCAGCATCAGTCATCCTTTCTTGTGCAACGTTCATGAAAACAGAAGACTTTGGTGGCAGCAGATGAACAGTGTGACGAATAACTGAAAGATTGGGCATATTGAATTTGATGCTAATGGGGTGTGCATAATAAGTTGTTTTTATATGGCGGAGTTGGAACCTGGCAGTATGGTAATTTGTTTTGTTTTTTTTACCTAGAATAATCATAAACCATTTATTACCCATTTTGTGCAATTCCTTTCTAAACAATCTTGTTTTTTTCAAGTAATTGTCATATTTAACCATTGTATTGTTATGTGTATGGCCAGCATCTGTGTAATAGGAAAAACAGGAGCCTCTGCATTTCTGCAACAATATAATATATATCCAAAGGTTTGTAGATCTCTGACAATCACATCTAAAAGAGCTTGTTATACATCTCATTCCAAGATCCCCTTTTTGAAGTTATATTGACCTTCAAAATTATGGGAAGGCTGCATCTGTAGGAATATTCAGCCAAAAGAGCATTTGTGAGGTCATTGGCATGCCAGTGTATCACAAGTATTCAGTAGGGTTGAGGTCCGGCATGGGCATGACACTTATGTTCTTTCACACCAAACTCCTCAGACCATGTCATTATGAACCTTGCTTTGCATACAGAGGTGCAGCCATGCTGGAACAGAAAAGGACCTTCCTCAACCGCAAAGTTTGAAGCACACAACTGTTTAAGATGTCTTTGTATGCTGTAGTGTTAACAGTACCTTTTAATGGAAGAACCTGAACTCAAGCATTTGGGAGACAACCATATAGTGTATCACTCCAAACAGACCTTTTGCAGGTGATGCCTGTAATTCCACTTAGCTCTGTGAAGCTGAACTGCTCTGTTTCAAGTGCTGCTTTACGCATTGACATACCTCCTTAGATCCAGTCTGTCTGGGCAGTATGGTCACTGCTGATTTGGCACCATCCACAGACAGCTTAACTCTTTAATAGGACACACAAGTTGAATCCCACTTATTTTTACCTTAGCTAACTGCAGTAGAAAGGATGCTTTTCCAGTTTTTTTTTCGCTAGATGCGCAGTCTATGAACTGATGAATATCATTATTAATGTGCAGTATCTCAGCATTAGTAGATTCCTTAACATCTATTAAAGGAGAAGTACAGCCAAAGCTCTTTTGGCTGTACTTCTCCTGTGGATCACAGGAGTTCAGTTCGTTTTCCACTCCTGTGACCTGTTTTCAGCTGACAGCGGGCTGAAGACTGCTGTCAGCTGACTTCTCTCAGAAGGTCCAGGCTGGGGAAAAATCCCAACTTTAACCTCCCTAGCGGTCTGATTATGTCCATATTTCTGTGCTCACAGCAGTACATTTTTTTGCATGGAAATATGTATTTTTTTTATTGTAGGCCTGTAATTTTTAGGAGTTACTCACTGAAATCTGTCTGAACAAGAGTCTAGTAAACATCCAGGGTATGTTAAAATTTGAAACACGAAATCATAAATTATAATTTAATAAATAATCATAAAAAATAATAATATACAGTAATAATAATACAATAAATTCAATAATATAATCAAACCAAAAACACTGAAATTTGAAATATAGCGCCAAGTTCGCACATCACTGAGCAAAGTCGCAAAATCGTTTTCAGTGTCTGATGACGAATTTCCCCACGAATCATTATCACTCAATTCTGCAAGTGATTCTAATTTGCTATTGCTGTTCTCTAGCTGGTCTAAAACCGATTTTGACCTAAAGGGATGCTTTTTGGATGCCATGGACGTTTCTCAGTTTCCAGGCAGAAAGAACAGTAAAAATGTAGGCCGGGCACAGGACAAAGCACTAGGGACAACATGTATGTGAAATGGTTTGATACAGTAATGTTTTACTATGCAATTTTAGTGAACTTAAATGTCACTTGAATGTCACTTTTTGTCATTTTCAAATTTCCCGCTGTACGTCCCGACATCGCAGGGGACGGAACCCAGAAGACAGATGACGGCATCCGCTGGAGGACATTACAGGGGACACTGCAGTAGGGACATCACGGGAGCGCAGGACAAGGTAAGAGAAGAACAGATCCTGGAGCAGTGCCGCATGGTAAGCCTGAGTGTAGCTCGGGGTTACCGCTTGTGGTACTGAAACTCTACCCCGAGCTACACTCGAGAATACCGCCAGGGAGGCTACAGTTGGGATCCACCCCAGAGTCTGGAGCAGCATCTGGCTCAGCTTCCCGGGGGGAGGGGGGCAGAGCAGACAGTGGTGACTGACAGTCACCGCTCTCTGCTCAGAGCAGCTGTGAGAACTCAACAGTCATGTGATCTTTGAGTTCTCTTACTTAGAGCTGGGGGGGGGGGGCAGATGCTGCATCTACCTAGGTAAGTATAATTGGGGGGAAAGCAATCCCACACTACTCTTTTAAAGACTCCATCACCTGACTGCCCATTGCTGTCCCCACCATGACATGACACAAGTGTAAGATGTGAAAGTAAAGTCTTGTTTAAAGAATCCTTGATGTACGGCTGATACGTTCCTGTCTCTGTCACAATCTGAAAACGTAACTATAGTCTTAATAGCAAAATATGTGAGCGCACTATAATAAAGGGAAAAGAAATAGCAGCTGTGTATATTTATATGCACATTTACATTGCGCATCCGGTGAGTGCGCAATTCTTCTACAACTATTGCACAAGCACCGATTCATCAAGAATTAACTGGCACTTTAGGAGCACTGAAGGTCACCTTTTGAACTATCTACGATTTATGCTTATTTACATTGGTTTATATTAATTTATGGACTTTTATTCATATTATTATTAATGATTTTAGTGCTGCACCTTATTTTTACTGTAACTATAGTCTTGCAGTGCTTTGTGGATGCACAACATCTGAAGCAAATGTCATGATTACTTTGAAACCTCCTTGCATTCTTCAGATTGCTTTCCCTTGAATGCCTTGAACACTTTCTAAGAGAATGTGATTTGTCTTGACTGAGACAGCAGAAGTGTGGGTCTTTTTGCCTTTCTTCAATGTCACTGCTGGTAGTGGTTGTAACGTCTGCCTTTCTTAGGGAAACATCACTTCTGGGTCTATGTATTTAGTGTTAAGGTTTTCTCTTGTGATTGAAAGTTTAGGAATGGTCAAGTTGATAACTGAGAAGTTTGGATTAGCTGTTTAAAGTCTTTGAAGAATTTTGGAATGAATGAAAAGGGTGGGAAGAATACTTGATGCTACTGCCTGTACTTGGAAGCAGCTGTTGGCCATTTTTTTTCCAGAATAATGTATAGTACTTTTGCTATAACCAGGTTAAAACCATGTGCATTGTTTAAGACCTAGTGGATGTGTATCTTCCTTGTTGATTTCAAGCTCAAGAAGAAGATCACTTAGTTCCTGGATTTTCTGGGTGTCTTAGAAAGTTTTGGGAAGTTCTGCAGTCACTTGATCTAGGCAAACTTGATGACTTCAGCTCTAATAAATTTGCTCTGATCTCCCCCATGAGAGATTAAGGCCTTTGTGTGGTTCATGAATATGAACAGTTTTAAGTATTTTAACACAGTCTGATGACTGAGGACCTATCTTATTAACAAATAGAGTTATTGCATAGGTTTGATGCTGGGGTCTTAAATTAGTGCCTTAAAGGAGGAGCTCCAGCTTCTATACTTCTCTTTGTGGTTGTAAAACTTCATATGGTCCAAAATATAAGTTTTTTGAGGCCTTGTCATTCCAGCTGTTCCTTTGCCATTACTAGACATAGTTGTATACAATATCTAGTGTTTGAGTGTTGGAAGAGAGAATAGAGTAGCAGACGGGCTCAGTGGAGGTGAAGATTTTACATCTGGAGGTCTTGTGGTGTGGGCCTCAGGAACAGTGTGACCAGTCACAGGAGGTTTTGAGGTGATTTGGTGAGCTGAAGCCAGGGTAGCCTGCGGTGGTACATAAGTGCTGCATAGGATGATAGTAACTCTGGAGGTGGAGAAGTGTCTATTATGCCAGGGTGACCTGAATGACTAATTGCTGCAGCTTCTCCTGCTGCCAAGTGTACAATGGATTTGTGTACAGTGCACTTGTACGCTCATTGTTCTGGCTTAGGATAAATTGCAAGGCCTGTCATGCAGGGTCATCAGAGGTTGTGAAAAGAAGGTGATCAAAGCCTTTTGACAGACATCTAGCTGGGCTTCCACATGAGCCACTTCTGCTTGCATTTGTGCTGGAACAGCTTGTTTTCCTGCCTGGGCATCTTCTATTTCTGTCTGTGCACAAACCTGGACAGCCTGTGCTTCTGCCTGGGCAGCTTGTGCTTCTGCCTGTGCACACGCTTGGGCAGCTTGTGTTTGTATAGCTGCTTCCCTCTTAATTCAGAAAGTTTCAGCTTTAGCTTATTCTGCGTCATCTTGGCCTGCTCAATGAGAACCACTGATAGCAGGATCTTATTAATGATCATGTAAGTGAGACCTTGAAGAGAAAGAAGTTTCAAGGAGTTGTGATATTCTTCTTGTCCGTCAGTGACTCAGCATCCAAAAACACAAAGTGCCTTTCTTTGTTAAAGTTGGTAAAGCTATTTAAAAAGGTTCTTCAGCTAGGTTTAACAAAAAAAAATAAAGTGTCTGAAATTGCTGACTTTTACTTGTCCAGGGTTCCAGAACTGTCCCCACCTGGGCCAGTTCTTCACCGGTCTTCAGGTCCCTGGGGCTAGCATGTTTAGTGTGGGAAGCTAACTGTCACTCCATGCAGCATTAGAGCCAGCTTCCCACTGTGCATGTGTAAGCCGTACTGTGCTTTTTGAATGGTCCCCACAGCCTTCTGGGATCTGTGACTTGTTCCAGAAGGTTGTGGGAAGGGAAGGGGGGAGAAATTCTGGTGGAATTGCCTAAGCGATTCCAGTGTAAGTAGCGAGCAGGTACCTGTCAAAACTGGGTACCTGTCTCCCCCCCACCCAAAAAAAAAAAAACTTCAAAAGAAAAGAGGAGAGGGGAGGAGTGGAACTTCCCCTTTAGTTCAGTTTCTTTGCATCATTACATGTTTCATCATCAGCAGTTATTCATTGCATAGTCCTATTCCACGGATAGATTAGCAGATATTTCTGCCTTGTTGCTTCAGAATTCTATTTAAGCTTCAAGAAAGACTTAAAGTAGAATTGTATCCTGAAAATAACTTCATTTTAAAAATGCCCCCCCCCCCCCCCCACTCTTAACACCTATGTTGACTTACCTGTGTAAATAAGATGTATGACTGTAATTTCACTTTAACTGAGTGTACTGTCTAGCAGGTATATCCACCTGTTGTCCATCAGTCTCATCTTGGGAAAGAGAAGTCTGCTCACTGTCTGACTGTAATGAAAGCACAGATTATTGTTCAGACATGTTGTCTTTGTGAGCAGTGTAGTTATACTACTGTATATTTGTGTAGTACCTCTCCTTCCAACCGCATGTCAAATCACTCACAAACACATGCAGGGTCCATCTTCGCAACATTGCCAAGATACGTACCTTCCTCACCCTTGACACCACCAAACGTCTAGTACACTCCCTCATCATCTCACGCCTTGACTACTGTAATTCTCTTCTCACCGGCCTACCCAAGTGCAGGCTCTCCCCGCTCCAGACCATCCTGAACTCAGCGGCTAGACTCATCCACCTCACCACCCGCTCCACCTCTGCCACCCCCCTCTGCCTCTCCCTCCACTGGCTCCCGATTGCCCAACGCATCAAATTTAAACTCCTAACCCTGACCTACAAAGCCGTTCACAACACTGCCCCTGACTACCTCACCAACCTGATCCCCAAGTACCGCCCTACCCGTACCCTTCGCTCCTCACAGGACCTCCTTCTATCCTGCTCCCTGGTCTCCTCCTCCCATGCACGACTGCAGGACTTCTCCAGGTCCTCCCCCATCCTCTGGAACTCACTGCCCCAATCCATCAGACTGTCGCCTTCCGTCTTCACATTCAGGCGCTCCCTCAAAACCCATCTCTTCAGGGAAGCCTACCCCACCCTCACCTAACGGCCATTCTCCCTCTTTCCTCCCACCCCTCATTCCCCTCAGCCACTTCCTACTGTACCTTTACCCCCTCCCTCCTAGATTGTAAGCTCGAAAGAGTAGGGCCCTCTTACCCCTCGTACGTTGTTTGATGTTGTTGTACTGTGCCATGTATTGTCCCCCCTCTATTGTACAGCGCTGAGCAAACCCTTTGGCGCTATACAAAACTCGTAGTAATAATAATAATAATAATAATAGTCACAGGTTATGCAGAAATCAAACACAATCTATTATAGCGCAGCAATTTTTAACAGCAGAGATACTCTATATTGCCAAAGTATTGGTATGCCTGCCTTTATACGCACATGAACTTTAATGGCATCCCAGTCTTAGTCTGTAGGGTTCAATATTGAGTTGGCCAACCATTTGCAGCTATAACAGCTTCAACTCTTCTGGGAAGGCTCTCCACAAGGTTTAGGAGTGTGTCTATGGGAATGTTTGACCTTTCTTCCAGAAGCGCATTTGTGAGGTCAGGCACTGATGTCAGATGAGAAGGCCTGGCTTGCAGTCTCTGCTCTAATTCATCCCAAAGGTGTTCTTTTGGGTTGAGGTCAGGACTCTGTGCAGACCAGTGAAGTTCCTCCACCCCAAACTCACTCATCCATGTCTTTATGGTTCCTGCTTTGTGCACTGGTGTGCAATTTTGTTGGATCAGGAAGGGGCCATCCCCAAACTGTTCCCACAAACTTGGGAGCATGAAATTGTCAAAAATGTCTTGGTATACTGACGACTTAAAAGTTCCCTTCACTGGAACTAAGGGACCAAACCCAACCCCTGAAAAACAACCCCACACCATAATCCCCCCTCCACCAAACTTTACACTTGGCACAATGCAGTCAGGCAAATACCATTCTCCTGGCAACTAGGGTTGCCACCTCATCCCTTTAAAACCAAGCACATATTAATTACACAGGTTCTGTGGCTTATTAAAGTGGTAATTAAATTCACTTAGTGCTTTATCTGCAAACAAATGGCCTCAGAACCGGTGTAATTAATAGGTGTTTGGTTTTAAAAGCATGAGGTGGCAACCGCCAAACCCAGACATGTCTATCAGATTGCCAGACCACACCAGACCACACTTTCACCTCTCAACCTTACCATGCACAAACATTTGGAACCAGAGTGTAGGTGCCAGCAGACTGAAAGTGATC